TACCCAGCATGTTGTTAGCTAACGTGCGATCTCTGGAAAACAAACTGGACCAGCTGAGAAATAAAACTTATCTGGAGAAGAAATCTTCAAAGAGAACAAACAACACCTCTCTCCTCGCCCATTTACGACCCCCTTCTCCCCCTGCCCGCTCTGCCTCTCCCTCTTTTCCCCCAAAAGGTTTCACTCAAAGTTCATTAAGAATATGCATATCCCACATATCATGTATCTTGTGAACCTGTTGTTTTTCCCCTTCATGTTTAGTGTCATTTTAAAGGTCTCTGTGCGATTGGTAAATTGGTTTCAATTTCAAAGTAGTCATTTATATTGTGAGAAAGATTTAAAACTAAGTTACAAAGGTGCACCTTTGAGGGTACCTCATGAAAAATAAACATGGTGTTACATAAGTACTAAAATGTAGTATTATTATTATTATTACCATGGTAAATTTGTGGTTACTGCAGTTTTAGTACAAATACTGTGGTAAACTGTGGTTACTGTAATAAAACCATGGTTAATTTTTGTTAAAGGCTGCCAGGCTGCTGTACCCTTAAAGGTGAAACTTTAGCATATTTTTTTCTGACAGATTTATTAACACTCAAAGGTGCAACTATACCCCTAAAAGTGAGCATATTAGTACCATACAAGTATGCATGTTTTAAGGGTAGATAAGTTACAAAGGTGCACCTTTGAGGATACCTCATGAGAAATTAACATGGTGTTACATAAGTACTAAAATGTATTATTATTATTATTAGCATGGTAAATTTGTGGTTACTGCAGTTTTAGTACAAATACTGTGGTAAACTGTGGTTACTGTAATAAAACCATGGTTAATTTTTGTTAAAGGCTGCCAGGCTGCTGTACCCTTAAAGGTGAAACTTTAGCATATTTTTTTCTGACAGATTTATTAACAGCAATTACAGAACATAACACAATCCATTTAAACTTTTAACAACCAGTTTAAATAAATGTACTTGCACAAACTAGACAATTTAAAATAAATATTACATGTACACAAAAGTTTGGGGTCAGTAAGATTTTGTAATATTTTTTTAAGTCTCATGCTCACCAAGGCT